TTGATAATAAGTTAACATATTAAAAACAGCAAACATTTGCCTCCATCCTATGGTAAAATGTGTCGAACTGCAGGAAATTAGCTGTAAAACTTAGCAACGTTAGACATCCCACTGGGCAAATACTGGTTGAATCAATGTTGTTTCCACGTCATTTCAACAACAAAAAGCAATGTGATGACGTGGAAACAAAGTTGATTCAACCAGTTTTTGCCCAGTGGGATGACTAATGTCTAATGTTGCTAAATGACACCATCACCAATGGTTATTATGACTTCAAAACATACCTCTCTCATTCATGAGGCTGTTGGTCTTGGAGAGAGGTGGACACAGAGGCCTGCCAAAATGGACACTGCCCTGCCCTGACATGGGCCACCATGCAGCAAAGGTGTGCGTGTGTGTGTGTGTGCGTGTATATGTGTGTGTGAGTGCACGTGCGTGTGTGTGTGTGTGTGTACGTGTATATGTGTGTGTGTGTGTGCGTGTGTCTCTAAAATGCAAGGTGCCACTGGAACATTAAGTTCATAGTCCCCTGTAGCTCAGTTGGTAGAGCATGGCGCTTGCAACACCAGGGTTGTGGGTTCGTTTCCCACGGGGGGCCAGTATGAAAATGTATGGTCTCACTAACTGTACGTCGCTATGGATAAGAGCGTCTGCTAAATGACTGAAATGTAAAAATGTAATTGTATGATGATGTACAGTAGCTTGCAAAAGTATTCACCCCACTTGGCATTTTTCCTATTTTGTTGCCTTACAACCTGGAATTAAAATAGTTTTTTTTAGGGGTTTGTATCATTTGATTTACACAACATGCCTACCACTTTGAAGATGCAAAATATTTTTTGGGGTGAAACAAACAAGAAATAAGCGTGCATAACTATTCACCTAGGCCATTCCAAGACATTTAAATGTTTCCCCTTAAAGCACTCGAGTGTTGCTTTAGCAGTATGCTTAGGGTCATTGTCTTGCTGGAAGGTGAACCTCCGTCCCAGTCTCAAATCTCTGGAAGACTGAAACAGGTTTCCCTCAAGAATTTCCCTGTATTTAGCGCCATCCATCATTCCTTCAATTCTGACCAGTTTCCCAGTCCCTGCCGATGGTGTTCTCGGGGTGATGAGAGGTGTTGGGTTTGCGCCAGACATAGCATTTTCCTTGATGGCCAAAAAGCTCAATTTTAGTCTCATCTGACCAGTGTACCTTCTTCCCTATGTTTGGGGAGTCTCCCACATGCCTTTTGGCGAACACCAAACGTGTTTGCTTATTTTTTTCTTTAACAATGCCTTTTTTCTGGCCACTCTTCCGTAAAGCCCATCTCTGTGGAGTGTACAGCTTAAAGTGGTCCTATGGACATACTCCAATCTCCGCTGTGGAGCTTTGCAGCTCCTTCAGGGTTATCTTTGGTGTCTTTGTTGCCTCTCTGATTAATGCCCTCCTTGCCTGGTCTGTGAGTTTTGGTTGGCGGCCCTCTCTTGGCAGGTTTGTTGTGGTGCCATATTCTTTCAATTTTTTTATAATGGATTTAATGGTGCTCTGTGGGATGTTCAATGTTTCTGATATTTTTTATAACCCACCCTGATCTGTACTTCTCCATGACTTTGTCCCTGACCTATTTGGAGAGCTCCTTGGTCTTCATGGTGCCGCTTGCTTGGTGGTGCCCCTTGTTTAGTGGTGTTGCAGACTTGTATATATACTGAGACAGATATACATGTGACAGATCATGTGACACTTAGATTGCACACAGGTGGACTTTATTTAACTAATTATGTGACTTCTGAAGGTAATTGGTTGCACCAGATATTATTTAGGGATTCATAGCAAAGGGGGTGAATACATACATTGAGGGAAAAAGGTATTTGATCCCCTGCTGATTTTGTACGTTTGCCCACTGACAAAGAAATTATCAGTCTATAATTTTAATGGTAGGTTTATTTGAACAGTGAGAGACAGAATAACAACAACAAAAATCCAGAAAAACACATGTCAAAAATGTTATACATTGATTTGCATTTTAATGAGGGAAATAACTATTTGACCCCCTCTCAATCAGAAAGATTTCTGGCTTCCCAGGTGTCTTTTATACAGGTAACGAGCTGAGATTAGGAGCACACTCTTAAAGGGAGTGCTCCTAATCTCAGTTTGTTACCTGTATAAAAGAGACCTGTCCACAGAAGCAATCAATCAATCAGATTCCAAACTCTCCACCATGGCCAAGACCAAAGAGCTCTCCAAGGATGTCAGGGACAAGATTGTAGACCTACACAAGGCTGGAATGAGCTACAAGACCATCGCCAAGCAGCTTGGTGAGAAGGTGACAACAGTTGGTGTGATTATTCGCAAATGGAAGAAACACAAAAGAACTGTCAATCTCCCTCGGCCTGGGGCTCCATGCAAGATCTCACCACGTGGAGTTGCAATGATCATGAGAATGGTGAGGAATCAGCCCTGAACTACACGGGAGGATCTTGTCAATGATCTCAAGGCAGCTGGGACCATAGTCACAAAGAAAACAATTGGTAACACAATACGCCGTGAAGGACTGAAATCCTGCAGCGCCCGCAAGGTCCACCTGCTCAAGAAAGCACATATACATGCCCGTCTGAAGTTTGCCAATGAACATCTGAATGATTCAGAGGAGAACTGGGTGAAAGTGTAGTGGTCAGATGAGACCAAAATGGAGCTCTTTGGCATCAACTCAACTCGCTGTGTTTGGAGGAGGAGGAATGCTGCCTATGACCCCAAGAACACCATCCCCACCGTCAAACAGGGAGGTGGAAACATTATGCTTTGGGGGTGTTTTTCTGCTATGGGGACAGGAGAACTTCACCGCATCACAGGGACGATGGACGGGGCCATGTACCGTCAAATCTTGGGTGAGAACCTCCTTCCCTCAGCCAGGGTATTGAAAATGGGTCGTAGATGGGTATTCCAGCATGACAATGACCCAAAACACATGGACAAGGCAACAAAGGAGTGGCTCAAGAAGAAGCACATTAAGGTCCTGGAGTGGCCTAGCCAGTTTCCAGACCTTAATCCCATAGAAAATCTGTGGAGGGAGCTGAAGGTTCGAGTTGCCAAACGTCAGCCTCGAAACCTTAATGACTTGGAGAAGATCTGCAAAGAGGAGTGGGACAAAATCCCTCCTGAAATGTGTGCAAACCTGGTGGCCAACTACAAGAAACGTCTGACCTCTGTGATTGCCAACTAGGGTTTTGCCACCAAGTACTAAGTCATGTTTTGCAGAGGGGTCAAATACTTATTTCCCTCATTAAAATGCAAATCAATTTATAACATTTTTGACATAGATTTTTTTGTTGTTATTCTGTCTCTCACTGTTCAAATAAACCTACCATTAAAATTATAGACTGATAATTTCTTTGTCAGTGGGCAAACGTACAAAATCAGCAGGGGATCAAATACTTTTTTTCTCTCACTGTATGCACGCACCACTTTTCCGTTTTTATTTTTTGCATTTCACTTCACCAATTTGGACTATTTTGTGTATGTCCATTACATTAAATCCAAATAAAAATCCATTTAAATTACAGGTTGCAATGCAACAAAATAGGAAAAACGCCAAGGGGGATGAATACTTTTGCAAGGCACTGTATTATCAATTATCTGTAAGTTCCCTCAGTTGAGCAGTGAATTTCAAACACAGATTCAACCACAAAGAACAGGGAGGTTTTCCAACGCCTCGTAAAGAAGGGACCCTATTGGTAGATACGTAAACATTTAAATAAGCAGACGTTGAATATCCATTTGAGCACGGTGAAGTTATTAATTACACTTTGGATGGTGTATCAATACACCCACTCACTACAAAGATACAGGCATCCTTCCTAACTCAGTTGCCGGAGCGGAAGGAAACCGCTCAGGGATTTCACCATGTTGCCAATGGTTACTTTAAAACAGTTACAGAGTTTAATGGCTGTGATAGGAGAAAACTGAGGATGGATCAACTACATTGTAATTACTCCACAATACTAACCTAAATGACAAGAGTGAAAAGAAGGAAGCATGTACAGAATAAAAAATATTCTAAAACAGCATCCTGTTTGCAATACGGCACTACTAACTGTAAGTCGCTCTGGATAAGAGCGTCTGCTAAATGACTAAAATGTAAATGTAATGTAAAACTGCAAGAAACTGTGGCAAAGAAATGAGCTTCATGTACTGAATACAAAGTGTTATGTTTAGGGCAAATCCAACACAACACATAACTGAGTACCACTCTTCATATTTTCAAGCATGGTGGTGGCCGCATCATGTTATGGGTATGCTTGTCATCGGCAAGGGAGTTTTTTTTAGGATGAAAAGAAACAGGATAGAGCTAAGCACAGGCAAAATCCTAGAGGAAAACCTGCTTCATTCTGCTTTCCAACAGACTCTGGGAGACAAATTCACCTTTCAGCAGGTCAATAACCTAATACAGAAGGCCAAATATATACCGGAGTTGCTTACCAAGATGACATTGAATGTTCCTGACTGGCCTAGTAACACTTTTCACTTAAATCGGCTTGAAAATCTATGGCAAGACTTGAAAATGGCTGTCTAGCAATGATTAACAAATAACTTAACAGAACTTGAAAAAATGTTTTAATGTGCAAATATTGTACAATCCAGGTGTGCAAAGCTCTTAGAGGCTTACCCAGAAAGACTCACAGCTGTAATCACTGCCAAAGGGTATTCTAACATGTATTTACTCAGGGGTGTGAATACTTATGTAAATTAGATATTTCTGTATTTCATATTTAATAAATTAACTAAAATGTCTAAAAACATGTTTTCACTTTGCCATTATGGGATATTGTGTGTAGATGCGTGAGAAAAAAAATATTGTTAATCAATTTTGAATTCACACAACAAAATGTGGAATAAGTCAAGGGGTATGAATACTTTCTGACGGCACTGTGTGTGCGGTAAGTGTGTGTGGTGCTTGCCCCAGAGAGCTGGGGCCTACACTCCACATCCTCCCACTCTATTTTCAGTCAGTCTGACCGCTTCTAGTGGTTCTCCCCCAGTCCAACCTCTCTCTTTACTGGGCAGGGAGTCTCTAGCGGTTCTCCCCCAGTCCAGCCTCTCTCTTTACTGGGCAGGGAGTCTCTAGCGGTTCCCCCCAGTCCAGCCTCTCTCTTTACTGGGCAGGGAGTCTCTAGCGGTTCTCCCCCAGTCCAGCCTCTCTCTTTACTGTGCAGGGAGTCTCTAATGGTTATCCTACAGTAGTTGATGATCTCATAATCTCTCAGACACAAAAGCATCTTGATTAAAGGCCTGAGGAGCAGGTACACAACTACAGAGCCTCAGCAGCCCTTTCAACTCCCTTTTATTGTGGAACATGTTCCTAAATTTAATCAAAAACAGGCTCCCAAGTCCCAACCTTAATTCAACACACCTTAAGTTCCCTACAGTACAGTAGCAGTGTATCAACCAGCAGTTGATCATAGCTACAGTACTTCCCCACAGTTACTTTTCTCCCTCGTGTGCCAAGGTAATGGCTCTAACTCTGTACTTGTTCCTGCTCAGCCATACTAATGTAAAGGCTGAGTCTGTTACGGTCCCACACAAAACATCAACTGGATAACACCTTCAAAAGACCTTCCTCAGCATATTAATATTACTCTGAATACGTATTTTAGAATGTTTGCTTTGCCGAACTAAGATTATCGCCTGAGGAAATGGAGAAAGGTAGAGGATTATAACCAGTGGTGTAGTGGAGGGTAAACGCAAGTAAACACAGTTTAACCCACCTTTTTATTTGGCCAACAGTTTATACACCTTTTGCAGAAAATTGCATTGAAAGTATAGGGGGTGCTACTTTGTTCACTGTGACCGGCGATCAGAATTTACCCATCTATTTGGTTTTACCACTTCATCACTGATGATATGGGTTTACATTAGGGTGAAGAAAGATAGAGAGCATGATTATGAGTGTGGATGCTCACCTTCTCGACATGCATCTCCTACAAACCCAGGACAGCACCTCCACTCCCGAGCAGTGACCTGCCGATAGGCCACCTTGTAAGACGGCCTGACCATGGTCCTGTAGCTGACAGAGCACATGGTCAACACAGGAACGTCATCATCATCACTAGTACTGCTATATACACTATAAGATAGCATTTCTATCAAAACAGGATTCTGGGGTGGTCTGGTCCAGTCCTACCTGATGAGTTTGGAGCAGGGTCCTGGCCAGCGGCAGCCCTGGAACACTCTCTGCACCATGGTCTCTGTTCCATTGGGCACCTGGCACTTCACGGTCCTCAACACTGTGTACTGGCACCAGTTCCTGTAATCAGAGTCAGATCATATGGATCTTACTATCATAACATCTAACACCGGTCACAATGTAAAGTTGTCAAACACTCTAAAAACGTCTCCTGCATATATTTTATTCACCCCTTCACCCACTATTGGAGATGCAAATATACAATAATTGCAAGCATCACCTCTTGCCCCTTTCCCCAGAAATCTGATACCAGGGCTGATCATCAACAGTTTTAGTCAAACATTACACATTGCTCTACCAATGGTGACGTTGTAAATCAATTCTGTTTCATTTTGGCAAACCCTTGACCATCCTCACAATGGATCCTCTCCGTGCGTCATGATGTGCTCACCTGAGCTGAATGTTTGATCCGCTGCCTGGTGAACCGGTGCTCGCGCCCTGCTCCGAGTTGACGCGTTGAACAGTCACTCCGGGAACCTGGTAAATAAATCCCGTTCCCATCGAATGACAGATCAGACATATCCATATTATGCACAGAGCGCACGGGAGCGATGTCATTGCCAATGCAATCTCCACAGAGTTCCAAAATGCTACTTGTAGCATACACAGGGGGAGATTGCTTTCCAAACAATCCACTGTAGTAGCCTACAGTAAGCGTTTATGAGTGCAGAATGCAAGACAGAGTGCTGGATTAACCCAATAACTCAAGTCAAATGCATCACACTGACACCCTTGTCCATGGAATAATCTGTGTTTTAAACACTACTCTGACGTTGGACTCCCTGCGAGGATGGAGGAGTCAGATATCCACTGTAGCTGGCGAGGAAGAAAACCACGTGTGAGTACTGTCCCATCCGATCCGCCTCTAGGAGGAGAGATTTTGGGACATAAATCAGCTGCTTCTCACAATTTTGTTTTAGAATAAAGGTTAAATTGCAAGGAATTTAAAACGATTTCACTTAATCCTATGGATTATATAAAGACACATCCTCTCACATTTTAGGGACTGTACGTTATTTATAATGAGTGATACCTGGAGAAAATTGGATCTCTCAGAAATGAAAATGGATGGCCCTCCCTTCAGTAAAATATATATTTTACCCGATCCACCGTGATCGCAAAAAAACTAACAAAAAGTCCCCTATACCCAAAATAATAATTAAAACATAAGTGGATAGCAGAGAACATGCTTACCGTTTACCCTCACTCCTAGGACAGACCAGAGCCTTAGATATGCAGTTTTAAAAACGGTTCTTCGTTTTGTTAGCATTACATGGCAAAGTAGCCAGAAGGTGGTAGATTCGTAGACCACCACGGACAAGGGGTCTACTGTAAGTGCTGTTGTTGTGAAGTGGAAACATCTACACTGAGGGAAAGAAGTATTTGATCCCCTGCTGATTTGGTATGTTTGCCCACTGACAAAGAAATGATCAGTCTATAATTTTAATGGTAGGTTTATTTGAACATGGAGAGACAGAATAACAACAAAAAAATCCAGAAAAACGCATGTCAAAAATGTTATAAATTGATTTGCATTTTAATGAGGGAAATAAGTATTTGACCCCCTCTCAATCAGAAAGATTTCTGGCTCCCATGTGTCTTTTATACAGGTAACGAGCTGAGATTAGGAGCACACTCTTAAAGGGAGTGCTCCTAATCTCATCTTGTTACCTGTATAAAAGACACCTGTCCACAGAAGCAATCAATCAATCAGATTCCAAACTCTCCACCATGGCCAAGACCAAAGAGCTCTCCAAGGATGTCAGGGACAAGATTGTAGACTTACACAAGGCTGGAATGGGCTACAAGACCATCGCCAAGCAGCTTGGTGAGAAGGTGACAACAGTTGGTGCGATTATTCGCAAATGGAAGAAACACAAAATAACTGTCAATCTCCCTCGGCCTCGTGGAGTTGCAATGATCATGAGAACGGTGAGGAATCAGCCCTGAACTACACGGGAGGATCTTGTCAATGATCTCAAGGCAGCTGGGACCATAGTCACCAAGAAAACAATGGGTAACACACTACGTCGTGAAGGACTGAAATCCTGCAGCGCCCGCAAGGTCCCCCTGCTCAAGAAAGCACATATACAAGCCCGTCTGAAGTTTACCAATGAACATCTGAATGATTCAGAGGAGAACTGGGTGAAAGTGTTGTGTTCAGATGAGACCAAAATGGAGCTCTTTGCCATCAACTCAACTCGCCGTGTTTGGAGGAGGAGGAATGCTGCCTATGACCCCAAGAACACCATCCCCAACATCAAACATGGAGGTGGAAACATTATGCTTTGGGGGTGTTTTTCTGCTAATGGGACAGGACAACTTCACCGCATCAAAGCGACGATGGACGGGGCCATGTACCGTCAAATCTTGGGTGAGAACCTCCTTCCCTCAGCCAGGGCATTGAAAATGGGTCGTGGATGGGTATTCCAGCATGACAATGACCCAAAACACACGGACAAGGCAACAAAGGAGTGGCTCAAGAAGAAGCACATTAAGGTCCTGGAGTGGCCTAGCCAGTCTCCAGACCTTAATCCCATAGAAAATCTATGGAGGGAGCTGGAGGTTCGAGTTGCCAAACGTCAGCCTCGAAACCTTAATGACTTGGAGAAGATCTGCAAAGAGGAGTGGGACAAATCCCTCCTGAGATGTGTGCAAACCTGGTGGCCAACTACAAGAAACGTCTGACCTCTGTGATTGCCAACAAGGGTTTTGCCACCAAGTACTAAGTCATGTTTTCCAGAGGGGTCAAATACTTTTTTCCCTCATTAAAATGCAAATCAATTTATAACATTTTTGACATGCGTTTTTCTGGATTTTTTTGTTGTTATTCTGTCTCTCACTGTTCAAATAAACCTACCATTAAAATTATAGACTGATCATTTCTTTGTCAGTGGACAAACGTACAAAATCAGCAGGGGATCAAATACTTTTTTCCCTCACTGGAGGAGCAACAACGGCTCAGCCTCAAAGTGGTAGGCCACACAAGCTCACAGAACCGGCCCGCCGAGTGCTGAAGCGTGTAAAAATAGTCTGTCCTCGGTTGCAACAATCACTACTGAGTTCCAAACTGCCTCTGGAAGCAAAGTCAGCACAATAACTGTTTGTCAGGAGTTTAATGAAAAGGGTTTCTGAGCAGCCGCACACAAGCCTAAGATCACCATGCGCAATGCCAAGTGTCGGCTGGAGTGGCAAAAAGCTCGCCAGCTATTGGACTCTGGAGCAGTGGAAACGCGTTCTCTGGAGTGATTAATCACGCTTCACCATCTGGCAGTCCGACGGACTAATCTGGGTTTGGCAGATGCCAGGAGAACGCTACCTGCCGGAATGCATAGTGCCAACTGTAAAGTTTGGTGGAGGAGAAATAATGGTCTGGGGCTGTTTTTCAGCTCGCTAGCTAACTCGGAAACAATTAGGCCATAAAAACATACAGTAACTGAACCACCATAAAAGCATGAGTTATAAGCTTGCCAACTAGCTACAACAATGTTAAATTAACTCAGAGACAGTGAATAGGCCTAGCTAGCTTAGCATAATATATAGCTAGCTAGCTGGTCTAGCTAGCCAAACCGGGTGAGAAACCTAGTTTGAGCTAGTTAGCTAGCTAAGCTAGCTACGTTAGCTAGCTAACTGACATGAAACAATGCACCACACAGTAACATTAACGTTAAAGGCGCTGCATGGTCAATCCGTTGTCTCCATTGGCCGTGCAGGATTTATGGTGATATGGCCTCTGCAGAAGTCAGGGCATTCATACTTCTTGCGCTTCATGTAGCAGAAAGAGCTGTTGTGAAGGAAGTTGTGAAGGAAGTTGTCAAGGAAGTGAGTTTGTGTTTATACAGGACCTCCCGCCCTCACCTACCGTCAACCAATCATGTCAATGCGGAGCTATTTGGAGCCCTCACATTGTTACAAAATTTGAGACGTGCACAGCGATGCAGTACGTGTTGCCAACTTAGCGACTTTGTCGATATATTTAGCGAGTATTCATACCCCTCTTGCGACACATTTTCAAAAAAGCGACTAGTGACAAATCTAGCGACTTTTTCTGGTGTTATTGGAGACTTTTGGAGACTCTGACGTGAAAGCACGTATCGTTCTTACTCTTCTCAACGAGCAGCGGGTGCTGCCGTGGGCCCCACTCGGGCCCCACCCCCGTCCCAATGGGCCCCACCCCCGTCCCAAAGCACTCACAGGCGGCCCAGTCCTCGCGCAGCAGTCCCTCCCAGCTGCAGTCAGAGCAGGAGATGTTCACCCCTCCGCGTCCAGACTGCAAATGAATCGCGCATGCGGGAAGCCGCCCCTGGCTGATCCCGCCCTGGCTGATCCCGCCCTGGCTTACATTCAGGGCGGGATGTAAATGTAAAATGTTCTTTGCCTAAAATAAATCACTGCACAAAAATAAATCACTGCATTTGACTCACACAGCCTCAGTCACTTACTCACCTCGTCCACTGTGTGTGTGCCTCTCTGTGACATCAGCTAAACATCTAGCTGGCTCAGTCTAAACTGTACACTCAAAAATACAGAAAGGAGTGGGAATCAAACCCTGAATTCAAAGACTGGTTGAAACCGTTTATTGGAGATGATACACGAGCATACTGCCTGTATTGTAAGGCTGATTTCTACGCCAAACTTAGTGATGTAAAAAAACACATGACAACTCAAAAAACGTACTCAAAAGGCAAAGCCTTATAACAGTTCCACCCAAAACAAGCTGCCATTTATGGTTAAAAAAAATTGACTCTGCAAAAAAGGCTGAGGCCACCATGGCATTAGCTATCGCTGAACACTGTTCCATGCTGGCATGTGATCACATTGGAGACGCATGTAGAGCTGCTTTCTCAGACTCCACTGCTGCTACCCACGTCAAAATGCACAGGACAAAGTGCACAGAAATGATTAATGGTGTTCTAGCACCAAACTCTCTGAAAAAGTTGGTCGCAGATGTGGGTGACCAGCGTTTCAGCCTCCTCCTCGATGAGTCCACGGATGTAAGTGTTTCTATGTACCTGGGGGTTGTGATAAGGTACTTTAGTGACACCAAGCAGACAATTGTATCAACATTTCTGGGGCTTGTTGAGTTGGAAGGAGGAGATGCCTAATCTATAGGCCGTGCTGTTGTGGCTTTCCTCGAGAAGTGTTGTCTTAAAAAAGAGAAACTCCTGGGGATATGGACAGACAATGCCTCCGTTATTTACATTTGAGTCATTTAGCAGATGCTCTTATCCAGAGTGACTTACAGTTAGTGAGTGCATACATTTTTCATACTGCCCCCCTGTGGGAATCGAACCCACAACCCTGGCGTTGCAAGCGCCACGCTCTACCAACTGAGCTACAGTTATGACGGGGATTAACAATGGGGTCCATAAAGTGCTGAAGGAGGAGTATGGCCTCACAGATCTGCTTCTTATTCGCTGTGTGTGCCACTCTCTGCAGCTTGCTCTAAGTCATGCTTCCAATGACATCATCCCACCGTAGTGTGGAGTACTTGGTACGAGAGCCTTAGAACTGCTTTTCAGTGTCTCCAAAGCGCAGGGAGGCCTACAAGGCCATAT